AATAGAAACCTATGAAACACCTTCATAGGAATTATCAGATGAACTAGATGACAAAATATGTAGAGGAGCATATGACCAACCAGGCTGCTGAAATCACTAGAGAAAAATAATACATAAGTATACCATACTGAGTCATCTAAATTGAAAGTCTGAAAAGTCTGTCAGTTCTGAGTTGTGACTAGTAGAGGAAGATAAAAAAAATATTGGAAAAATGGGTATCAGAATTAGGATGTACTTTACAAGAGTAATAGTAATTTAACAGATAACTCTAACTACAAGTATTGGTCTTAATCATAGCAGAAATCTAAGTTAACAGTAGATAAAGAATATATAGATCACTCTGATAGGTTTACCTTGAGGATAAAATTGTTTTAAGATTGAGATGAAAAGATCTAGGTTAAGTGATCTAGTGAAATTAATATTAGAGTCAGATCAGAGGGTTTAAATGAAACATCTAAACAGAGGTGTTAAGTATAATAATTGGTAGAAAACCTTTAGATGAACTTTTTAAATAGGTAATATAGAAAACTTCCAGTTGTATACTTATTTGAAAGTTTAATATAAATCTGTTTGTATGAACATGTACTTGATATAAATATTAATAAAAAGTCAAAAATATCAAAAAGGTCATCTTAATACCAAAAAAAAAAAAATTTTAAAATAAAAGTTTTATATATATTTTATTTTTTTAAAAAAAATTTTTTCTTTTTTTATTTATTTTTTTTGTTATATCTTTTATTATTTATTTTTATATCTTTGTGTTTTTTTATATCTTTATTAATTTTTTTATTTTTTTTATTTTCTTATAAGAAAATTTCATTAGATTAATAGTATTCTATTGTAAGATAGTGATTAAATGTAACTATTAATGTACTTTAATTTTTTAATAAATTAGACAATTAGTGCAAGCAGATTGTTTATAGTATTTATAAAAATATTTGTAAAATGTTGGGCTAAAAGTTAAGCAAATTATATATATATATATATAAGAATTTTAACAAAGATAACTAACAAGACTTCTTAAGTGAAAAAAAATAAATAAATAAGAAATATAATTATAATAACCTGAAGTGATCATTACCTCACTATTTTTAGAGTTAGAATGCAATTTAAGACCAAGACAGAGGTTAGATATAATATCTCAAATATAGGTTACATGAGGCTTTGGAAGGTTCTGAACATTTTTATTTAGTATATCTGATCCTGTTTCTTAGTCCCGTATTTGAGATATAGCATTGAGGTGATGATCATCTTAGGTTATAATTAATAATATTCAATAAATAAATCAAATTTCTATTTGCATCTGGTAAATGAAATATAAATATATATAATTTTTTTTTAAAAATTGGTAATATTTAAAATTATACTAGAAAATTTAATTTAAAAGTATTAAGTAAAATTGTTCAATATTCGATCTTATATATAAATTCATTTTTTGGTTTTATCTAACTCTAAATTTAATATAGTTGCATTATACTCTATAGGTATAAGTATTAAATTTTAAAATAAAAAATAAAAATTAAATTTGAGTTAAAAATTTATAAATAAAAAATATAAAATGTAACAAACAAATTTACCAATACAATTAGCATCACTGATACACTTTTATATATAATACAGCACTTGAAATAATTTAAAACACAACTTATTTAGTACATATTTGAATATGCTAAATGAATATTTGGTAAAAAAAATTTAGTATTTGATATAAAAAGAAATTAAGAATACCTGTCTTTATCCAACAGTAAATAAAAACTTGCATTTATGTGCATTTTATAAGCTATTAAAAGCATCATATAGTCTTGAATTCCTTTTTCGATATTATTATATTACAACACCACTATGCAAGTTGCTATTTAATAGCAAATAGAGATAATACCAATTGATAAATTACTAAATTAAGTAATTAATACAAGATCACTCATATTAGGAAACCAAGAAATCCAATTAAAAATGCTAATTTAATTTAGATTATTTAAGCCATATACTGTATATCGATATCGATATATATATATTTTAGTTAAATAATATTTTATATTCATATGATTTTAACTTATAAAATTAATTAGTAATTAAATATTCAAAATAATTTCTTAAATAATTTCGGAGCCTAGTCTTTTTATCATCCCTAAATTTCATAATTAGGCTGTTTGATATTACTATTTCATTTAACGTTCACCCCTTCTATTATGTAACGAACTTATAACTTCGAACGAACTTATTAACAAGATATATCCAATATTTATTAAAAATTAAAATGATTTAAAGTTTCGAGGGCCGATTTTGCATCAGGCCTAACAGTGGGATTTTCATTCCAACATCTTGTGTACAGTTTTACAAATTTTAGTGGAGTTCCTTCTACAGTGGTTTCTCGTTTGCCTTGGAAAATATGAATGGCGATGGCCTCTTTTGATGTGAATGATTTGAATGGTATCTTTCCACTGGAAATTTCCCAGAGAATGACACCAAAACTGTATATGTCAGATTTCTTGTCCAATTTGTATGAAGGATCTTTAATATATTGTGGATCAATATATGCAGGCATTCCATTTGAAGTTGAAATTGTTGTTTGATCATTAATATGACCAGATAATCCGAAGTCCGCAATCATCATTTTCCCTTCATGAACCAAGATATTTTTAGAATGCTATAAAATATCGTAACATTAATAAATGTACAGAATTACTGTAAGATTGTATTTAACCAAATAAATTAGTATTTACTAGATCGCGATGAACGATGTTATTTTCATGCAAAAAAATAAGCCCATGTAATATTTCCTTAGCCAAACGGATTTTATCATTCCATTCTAGTTTTAAAAAATACTTTTTAAGATATTCACGCAAATTTCCGTCATTCGCAAACTCCATAACTATATTAAAATATTCATTTGATGGATCTGTTTTAAGGAAAAGGTTAACTTTGATGATCATTCAAGCTTATACATTTAATCTTAATACACACCATTAATTAATCCGTAGAAACCAATTATATTAGGATGAAGTGCAACTTTTTGTAAAAGTAGAGGCTGTTCAAAGATAAAATCTTAATTTTATTTAAAGAAAAAAGTTTAGGTGGACATTAAAAGTCCAAAAACAAAATCCTGAAAAACTGGATAGAATTATAGTTAGTGTCTTATATTCATAACTTTCTTCTATATTTATATATTGCGATTTAATATTCATGAATAATTTATAATTAGCATAAACATAGATTTACATATTTCGAATATTCGTAAATCTTTATATATTTATGAATATAGCTTATTTGAACGCGAGCTTTAAATGCTACTTATTAGAATCACAATTTTCAGGATTTTGAATTATATATACTTGAAATTTTTCTATACCTCTTTTGGATTGAAATTAGCGTTGATTCTTTTAAGAACAACTGTTATTCCTGACCATTCTGATTTGTATATAGAACTGTATGCACTATCGGAAATCTTTTCTTGGCAACTAAACTCGTTGCCATCAAAAAAATTTATTCGATTCTCAATAGCTTCCTTTTCAACTAATCCTACAAAATTTAAGAACATTATCAACTATTCTGACATTTTTTTTAGAGGCATCTGATCGAACTTTTATTTCTATTTTTTACTTTGTCTCCTAAACCCCTATTAAATTAATAACATTCGGACAATTTAAAATTACACCGGCATTTCTGCGTCTATATTTAGTTACTCAAATTTAGTAAATTGAATACCCTGTTTTGTATTATGGTTTGTTATTATATTCACGTGCTAGTACGTTACGTATGCATGTAAGTACGTAATCCGGAAATCACAAACTAGAGTATTCTCCATATAAAAGTATGTCGCCAAGAGATAAAACCTCGCTTCGACTTTCGAGTACCAAAGTATAGCATTCATTGGCGGCATCAGGTATTCATCTAAATACATATATGTGTTTTCATACTGGCTGCAATACGTATTTGCGTTGTGCCCAACGTTAATGCAGCTAAAGTTGCACCTAGCGCTAGATTAAGCCCCTGCATTAGCATTAGTAATGTGTTACCTCAAGTGACTGAAGCGAGTGCAGCACATCTTGCTAATCTTTGATAAACAAATTTATTTTTAAATAAAGTTTCGTTTGTGTAACTGCGCTATTCCTCTAACCTTTGTTTTTTCCCTCAATTCATTGCTTAGGTATTGTTACAAACTTTTCCAAATTTATAGTAACTCTGTCCAAATTGAGTTTTTTTAAAAATTAAGTTTATCCATATTTATCAATTCAGGAACATTCGATAAGAATATCTATCGGTTAACTATAAAGAGACACCATGTATTATAAATTTGCACAAACTTTCTACTTCTTAAACATAAATTATAATAGATACCTTAATTCCTAATTATATTAATGAATATGGCCCATAACGAGAACAAGAGACTCCGTGCCGCGGCGTTTTTAGGTACCTGGGAAGGTGTTTCATATAACCTAAATGAGATTATAGGAAGTGGTAAGGAAATCAGTATTATTTGCTGTATAAAGTATTATTCTAGTTCACCAATCTGAAAGATGTACTTGTTCGAAATAATAATTTACTGCATATATACAGCTGCGGTTATTATTGACTATATATTATTAATTATTATTAATCTTATAAACTACTTTTAAATTTTCATATATTGTTAACTTTACATTGTATGATTCATCACCATATTTAAACTTTGAATTAGGAATTTTTTTAACGCCAGGCAACGTCTGGAAACTGATTGGATCTCCGGGCGCTGCCCTATTCTTTTGGTTGACCAATGCTGCTCTGAGTCTAGTCGGAAGCCTCATCTACACCGAGGTAATAAATAATGATTCTTATACTCCAGTTGGAATCTAAATTCTTAAATTATTATTCAGGGTAATAATGTATAATTAATTAACTTTTCATACTTAATTTTTTAGTTGGGTGTAATGTTGCCCGAAGGCTCAGGAGAGCTTATATATTTGGCGCGTTCTTTTAAGAAGATTGTTGCCAAAATATTCGCTATTGCTATGATCTGCGTAATGCGACCTGCCGCGATCGTGGCTGACGCTTATGTCTCTTCTCAATTCCTTATTTATATAATTAGAGGGGATGATGGTGATAATCGTCCATCGGAATATTTAAACCCAACTGAATATTTTAGTACAGACTTTATGTGAGTAATGTTAATATATTGTTTTGTCAATTTTCGAAGTACACGATATTGGATCATAAAGTATGAAACACTATGTTATATTTATGGATTAAAATATGAAAACTACAAATATTTTTGTGAATTTAAACCTATTTTTCACATCAATTTCCAATTTATATAAAAAAAGACCTTTATCATAACATGACCAATGTCAAGTACTTAACATTCACCGATTTTAATTCTAATATCTCGAATTCTTTCAGTGTGATCCGTTTCGTGGCAATCATATTTATGCTTGTTATTACTATGTATCACATGTATAGTAGCAGATTAGCAGCTCATATAAATATTATTTTCGCCATATTCAAAGTTCTGGCGCTTTGTTGTGTGATAATTGTTGGTATGGCACAATTATTAAAGCCTGAATCCAAAAGTCACTGGGCAAATTTATTTAATGATACAATAAGTGATCAACGGACTAGTTTAGAAAAGGTCGGAAGCTATGGTGATGCCATGCTGGAGGTTTGTAAATGAATAATTTATATAAAAAAAATCAAATTCATTACTAATTAAAATTTTACACAAAAGATTCTTTTTACGTATGAAGGTATGTTAATTGATTTTCGTAACTGTTTCATTGTTTAACCGAATTTTGTCTAACAATTTTTGCCATTAATTATCAAAAAGGGTGGAATAATGCAAATTGTAAGTAATTTTTTATTTGCAATTAGAAATCTAATAATAAAATCTAATAATAAAAATTAAGGATTAATTTTTTTTTCAGATTTGACTGATCTGTTAAATAATCCGCAGCACGTTCTGGCGGTTTCTAACATTTTTAGCATTCTTATTGCCACTATACTTTGTATGTTTTAAATTTATAGTTTTCTTAAATTCTAAATCACTATATTTTATTAATAAATCTTTTTCTTTTTTTATAATTTTATAATTTTATTTTTTTGCTAATTTTTTTTTTAGATATTTTTACAAACATTGCCTATATAACTGTAGTAAATCCTACCGATATTATTCTGCTTGCTCACATAGACGATCCAACTCAATTTATTGCCATAGCTTTTGGCAACTCGCTACTTGGAGAAATTGGAAAAAAGCTCATGGGAGCTCTTATTGTGATTTCTTCTTGTGGAGCTGTCGGAGCAATGATTTTTAGTGGTTCTCAAATTATAGTTTATGCCACTAGAAACGGTCTAATTTCTTTCCAACACAGTGAGAGATTGTACGAATATAATAGTACATACGACACACCGATAAATGCATTGTTAATACAATTTTTGTATTGTATGGCTTTAATTATTTTCTTTCCGACAGGAAATGTTTTTTTATTTTTTGTGCGAACCTCTCTATACCTGACATTATTGTATTTCGGTATTTCCGCAATTGGCTGTATAGTATGTATTATTTATCAAAAACTATTTTAACATTCACCTAATATTAATACAAATTTATGCTATCTTAAACTAGGTTTTAAAACGAAGATTACAAACATTGAAACCTTTTTGGAGTGGGACTTTTTATTTGTGTCTATTGTTCATTTTGGGTATATTAATTATTACAATTATAGCATTCTTTCCGCCACCAAAAGAATATGGTTTAGATTTGTATTTCATACCATACGTTATTTCTTGGGGCGTTATTTGTATTACATATTTATATTATAAACTTTTTGGTGATAGTAATGGTGATAGTAATGGTGATAATAATGGTGATAGTAATGGCGATAATAATGGTGATAATAACGGTGATAATAATGGTGATAATAATGGTGATAATAATGGTAATAATAATGATAATAATGGTGATAATAATGGAATAGATAATCATATGGATAATAATGCTTAAATGTTTATTGCTATTCAATGTATTTTAATCAATATTATTAATTCGATCAATATGTAAAAATTTTTTCTTTTTTAATGTATAATAAGTTTATTGTATAATTCAATTAAATAAACTTTTAAAAATAATCAGTATATTGCGATTTGAATTACAAATTTATTCAAATAAGTGGAAATTGAATTTTTTGAAATTTTATAACAGGAGTGTGGGTCCCATAGCTTAATGGTTAAGCTTCCATACCCCCACAGTCAAGGTCAATGGTTCAAGTCTGGCTGGAGGCAAAATTGAAAGATTTTAGCTTCTTTAACCTATAAGGAGCCTGTAATTGAACATGAAGCCCTTGTGGTCAAGCTCAAGTGCAGTACATGACAGAAAAAGGAATTCCTGGAAGGAAACTGATTCTGCAGAGTGTGGGCACTACATGTGACAACAGCATCACAGAAGGTTCTGTTACACAAAGGTTTGCACATTTAAGTCCTCTGGAAATGGGGCAGTACCAACATCTCTGCATCCAACTTGTGAAGTACTTGATTGGGAGGATGACATCAAGATAACATGAACTGGAGTGATGAGAGAAGCAGTATATACATAGAAGGTTTGTGACAAAGGATTATCCTTATCAAGATTAGAAGCATCTCTGGTATTGTGGAATGTTTAAGAATAGAAGATAATCATCTGCATAAAGAAATTGTAGTCTGTCCTGTATATCTAAAGGTTCCAAATCAGAGCTCTGGTTACATTTATATGAAAGTTTATAATGAAATAAATGAAATATACTAATATAAATACTATATCAATCATGATTAAGATATCTAAATTGAAAATTGAAATCTTTAGAACTTTGTGTCAGTAGTGGAAATGCCAGTCTATAACTAGAAGAGAATGTATATCCATTCCTGAAATAGAGTTTCATCTATACCATAAAAGGGAGTACTTAAGAGCAAATTAGATATACAATCTTTTGAACATAATGCTAAGACCAAGAAGAATTACAAACCAGTAGTGATAGCAGAAACTTGGCTTGAGATACATGCTACTAGTACCTGAATTGGAAAGTTAACAGCAGCAGCAAGAACCTGACTAGAGATATGCACTAGAGAGGCACCTTTTAGGCAAACCAAAAGATGGTAACTTAAAAGAAATGAACAACCTGGTGAACCAATTTGGAAATTGTTAAAATAGATTGTGAGACATGGAAAAAATATGCAGGTTATCTAATATAATTAGTAGTAAAACAAAAATCCAGGTTAGGTGTGAGTGGGATATAATACAAAACTCTGATAGGTTTAGGTCATAGATAAATATGTCTGAGTTCTATGTTTAATATAGATATATAGTAATAGATAATGTATAAATAGATTTGTACTAGTTATGATGAATATACTAATAAAGACTAGAAGGCATAACCTCATCTTAATACCAAAAAAAATTTATATTAGAACATAGAATATTTTTTAGATTGTTATACTCTTTAGTCAAATTGCATGATATACTTTAATTTTATATATAAAATTTATTAAAAATTCAATTTTAATTTGAACTTTATATATACTTTTTATTTTATTATTTTTTGTTAAAAATTATAAATTCAAATATTAGATAGTTTTACAGAATTCTTTCTATATTTTTTAATTTAAAATCCTATCTTTTTTAAAACAATTATATAATTAGTTTAAGCAATCTTTTAAAAATTAAAATATAGATGTAGTGACTTAGTAAAGTAATTAAATTGACATCCAAGTAATATTTTATAAACTAAACTTTTTTAAAAAAGATTTAGTTTAAATTTAATATTAAACTTGTAAGTTAAGTTTAGATTTAGTTTATATTCATTTTAAAGTTCATAAATATGTTTAAATTTAATAATTAATAAGAAGTTTGCTAATTTACACTATAGGTAATTATCACCTATAGTAAAATTATCTTAAAATTTTGCTTATAAAACTACTTTTGAAGTTCTAAGTAAAAAATTTCTTGCAAAATTTTATTATAGATCTTGTTAAACCATAATCTAATATGAGCTCTGAGTCCTAACTCTAAAGTCAAGAAAAAATATTTTTTATTTTGTTTTTTTGTTTATTTTGTATAATTATGTTATATAAAATTATAATAATAATTATAGATAATTATTACCTAAAATAAAAATTAGTTAATTTCAATTAATATATTTTTATATATAAAACAAAATTATTTAGAATATTAAAATAAAATTATTTAATAAAATTTAATAATTTTATTAATAAAATAATAATAAATATTATTATTTTTAAAATTTTATTAAATATATTTATATTTTAAAATAAAATTATTAAGAAATTTTTTAAATAATATATAATAGTTAATTGAGTTAATTAATTAGTATTAATAAATTTTAAATTAATTACAATTAATAGTAAAATTACTAATTAATTAGTAATACTGTTAATTATATTCAAAAATAGATATATTAATTTGTTTTTAATTAAAGATCATACCTTTAAGGAATAATATTTTATTTAGATAAAGATGCCTTAGAGATGTTTATACATAGAAGATTACAACTAGTCATATATGCATTTTTGGTATTTAATTTAAATAATATTAGGCCCAATAATATAATGTGAATTCTTTGTTAAAACCTTATATAAGAGTAGTTATAGTGTTTAATTTATTGATATAAATATCTTAACAATTAATTATATTAATATAATTTATTAAATATATCAAAAAAAGTGATTTAATAGTAAAAAGAAATATAATAATTATAAGAGTTTATATAGATAAATTAAAAAAGTTAAATAAAATAAAAAAAATAGAAAAGTGAGATTAATATAATTAAATAAGTCATAATTAGAAAGTTAATATAAATAAAGACTAAAATAATTCTTAAAAATAATTATATTTTATTTGCTTTATTAAAAAGAACAAGTTCTAAATACATTATATTGTATATAATAAAATACTAATATTTTTATATTTATAAACTTTGTAACTATCTATATTTATTATTATTTAAGTTCTTAATTATATAGCATGCTTTATTAACTTTATTGAACTAAAGTAACTAAAAGCCTTAATTATCTACTAACCAATTCTAATATATTATACAAGATTTTGAATTATAAAGCACCTAAGTTGCAGTTTTCTAAATCTAATAATAGTCTGCTTGTACATTATTATACAGATTCTATTCTAGTTGCTATACTTGCAAGCAAACTACAAATCTTGTTTATTTAAATTTTTGTATATACAATTCAACTTGTATTATAATAATATATTTAAAGCTATAATTATCTAAAGTATTTAATGCATTTAAGTTCTTAGAACTATTTTATCTTAATAGTAAACTTATTAGAACCTTTATGTCTTACATATAGCTAACTTAGTTTTATATAATATGCTATAGTTTAACTACTAATTGTAATTAAAGATATTATCTATTAAACTATTACATTATATTGGTTGTCTTATTAAGCATAATACACCAACTTGATACATTTAAATTAAAATGTAATTATACAAAATTTACATATTAATTTGCAATTAAATAAATATATTTAATATTTGAAGATTTAAAGTATTAGCTCCGAAATCAGTACTACCATTATCATGATCATATGTAGCATGTGATCAATTGTCAAATTTAGGACCCGACATCTACTCGAGTAATTGGTCACATGAAAAGTAAGATTTATCTTACTTTTCTTACTTTTTTTACTTTTATTACATTTATTACTTTTATTACTTTAGGTAAATTGATGATATAAGAGACATTCAGTTTTTCGGTATTATAGTGAGGAAAGAAGTTTTAAGATTAATATAGTATAAATAGATAATGCAGAAGAAATTATCCTCGAATGTAAATAAATGCTTTATTATAAATAAAGGGCTTTTCGCCCAGGGGGGAAGTAACAAGCAATACCCCCTAATAAATACAACTGCTTAAATAAACTTGAAGTATCGGATCCATATTAAAAGTAAACTGTGACCCAAACTAAAAACTATTGTTAAACCCATCGTCATAAACTATTACTCGCCTATTTGTAATCCATTAAAACTGCATTTTGTTTGTTCAACGTGAGTCATGTGACCAAGCCGTTAACATAAGAGAAGGACTCCAACCTGATTTGACGTATCATAACTTCAGGTTAAGAAAGTAGAAGAAAGACAAAAAAAAGCAAGGGTCAACAGAAGTATAGGTTGAAGGAAAGACTTAGTAAAGAAGAGTAGTACTTATCTACGGATAAACTACTAGTCAAATCTAATATGCCTATTTTGACTTAGCCACAGGTTACATGAGAATTGGAAGGAATTAGCGACAGACTTGCCGATTTGCTGCATGACAATAGAATATATATATTTATAAAAAAAAATTAAATTAATTATTGATTACAT